CGGATTTTTGGCGGAAAAGGTACATGCCCCTTTTTCTATTTATTATCAACCTGATTTTTTTTTAATATACTTATTAGTTTTGACCGTCTTGGTTTGATCCTGTACTTGGACAGCAATCAATTCATTATGAACCGCGAGTTTATTATCCAATTTTCCGACGTTTTCTTCAGTGCATGTAGAATTATCGTTCCCCGTTAATTTTCCCTCACGATCAATTAGGGTAGTCATTGTAGTTGATAAGCAATTGATATTATGTTTAATGTTTTTCTCTGATTCGTTGGTCAATTGCGGCGGCTGAACTTTGTTGGCATCAATACTTCTGTGACCAATGCTATCAATGGCAGTGGCCATAAACAGCTTGTCTTCGATGCCAGCCGACGTGACAACACATAAACCATCAAATACCCCGTTATCTTTATACTCGTTTTCAATGGAATTGTTTTCTGACATTTTAATTTTTTTGATACATCAATGTAGCAGCTTTTCGTTTACCCTCTTTCTTCAGTAGACCCTCGACTAATCGATCGGTACAAAGGAACATTATTATTTTTTTCGAATAAGAGTAGAAATTTTAATTCAATCACTTACCCCTGACTGTGAACGATAGTACGGTACACTCTACCGAATAAGTAAAAGTTGTACTATCACCTTCTTCGAAAAACTTATACTCCGGTAGTCTCCAATTTCGGTACATACACAATTCTTGTAGTGCACATATTGGATCAGATTTTAAACGTGCATCTAATTTATTGTCTATGAATTTTTTTCTGAAAAGAATTATACATTTTTAAAAATGTTTATAATAGATTGGTTTCTTATATATATATACTTTTCATCGTTAACAGTAGTCTTAAATGTTGTGATTTGGTCCAGTTTTATGATGTTTTTTATGTCACTATGACCGGTGGATTTGGTGATCATTTTACGGCAGTTTTCTTCAGTGAAAATTATATCATTCTTCGTCGCATCTAGGTGATTCGATTCTACTTCGAGATCACTTGAGATAGTCTTTGTAAATGATACTTTATCGATACTAGCTTCGAAGATTTTCATTGGATTTTCGATTGTCTGAGTTTGTTGGACTTCGATAACATCAGAGGCTTTTTGGACAACGCCATCAACAACATCAACGAAAGCCAGATTTTCATTGAGTTCTGTTACATACAAATCGGAGAACTTATCACAGCATCTCGTGTCCACGTTTTCAGCCTTCTCCGATTTAGTTAATTTGGACGATGCCATTGGACATTGTTCACACTTTTCTGCTAATTTTGATACCAAATAATTTTTTTCATTCAACAACTCTTTGTTTTTTCTTTTCAGTGACTCAATTTCTTTGATAAACTTGTCCAATGTATATTGATAATGGTGATAAAAATTTGGTTGAACAATTTTCGATGAATTATCTAAAAGAACACGTTTGTGTGTTATTGTTTTACGTTACAATGTACATTGACTTACAGATTTCGATATATTATTAACTAAATCTATAATTTTGTTACATACCTCCAAATTCTGTTACTCTATTTTGGAGCTGCTCATATTTTTCCCTCAAATTTGAGAACTCGTTGTCCTTCAACTGAAGTTCCATTTGAAAATTAGCTGCAAAAGAATATTACACTGTTATAGTATATTAGAAATATATATTACTTCTGTAGTGTTCAGAGCTTGTAATAATCAGATACTTTTCATTTCGCTAATTTTTGATAATAATTGGTTAATAGTCGCCCCCTGAACCTCGATTTGCAATGCAAGCTGAGCCATAATTGTATTATGATTCGGAATCATTGCATCCGGTTTCATCGATTGTGATTTTTCTACGTTGTTCATACATCTATCATCTTCTTCTACACAGCTAACAGACCGAATGTAATTATTACTCATCATGAAATATATTAACCTATAAATTATAAAGTATATTAATTATTTATATAAGTATAGTTGCTTTAAGATTGTAATAATAATAAGAAATCAAACTGATTATGTATTATATTATGGTATGAAATTTTAAAGCAAGAAACCGTAGTCTTAAATTCCAAACGAAATTCAATATAGATCATAACAAACTAATATTGTTTACTAAACAACATTTATAAATTTATTAATTAGACGTTGTTATATCCAAATTGAACGTATTTCATTTGAACCAGCTAAAAATTAATTTTAATTTGATATTTTCCAAGTACAAAACTCCACGAAATATCCTGATACTACTTACTTCTTTGATCTTACGACTAATAATTACTAAAAAGTGAAATTTTTTCAATCGACACTTTGACCACAAATAAAGATAATAATTTTTTTTTTTCATGTATTAATAGTTTTCATATTATCATTATTCATTAAATATTACAAAAAAACATTTTGATATCGAAACTGTTCGTTTTGTTTAAATTTTAATCGAAAAACAAATGTTCTTATAATTACCATAATTTGTTTTAAAATTGTGTGTGCAAATAAAAAAATGTAATAAACATGATTTTATTTATTAATAATATTTGGTTATTATTAAAGCTATTTTAATTATTTGATTGTAATACCAAAGATGTATGAAAAAAATAATTTTGTAGGGCCCAAAATTGTAATTGCCTAGGGGCCCACACAGTGGCGCCGAACCCATATAGTAGGGGTGGCAACCACCACCAATTTTAAATGGGTGGGTAGGTGGTGGTCGGGGGGTCCTGTTATGCAGATGGGTAAATATTAAATACTTAACAAAAAATGTTGACGGGATAAGCCGTTGAGTGCCTCGATGTAATCGACGTGCGTTGCCTGTGTAGCCGCGCCTTAAATAGACCGCGTACAACGTCGGTCGACTACGTGTCGACGTCGGCCACCAGCGCAAGACCATAATTTTTACAGCCTATATTCATTTTTATTTATTATTTGATGAATAATAAATATAAAAAATTTATAAATCGTTTTGTTGAACTTATTTATTGAATATTATGAAATAAAATCTACTTAAAGTTCAATTGAATTTATATTAATTAGTAGGGCTAGGATTTATATGCAATAAAAAATGATTAAATATGCATTTGGCTTATTGAAAATATGCAAAAATATGCAATAAAAATATGCTTAAATAAACCAAATAAATATTATTTAAAAAACACGTTTTCTATAAATTTTTTTTAAATACCAATTAATAAAAATAAATATGTTAAACGCTTAATTATAAAAACATTTAAAAAATTCTAAAATCTTAAGATCTCTATAATATTAATTAATATAAAATTGATAAAGCTATTCGAATGAATTACATGAAACAATTACATCATGTTTTAAATTTTCAAAAATGAACGATCTTCTGTTTGACCTAAGTATGTTTTTATACTTGCTAAAATTCCGTTTGACATCACACGACGTTATTTTTGCATATCTAAATTTTGTAACTTCCCCAGGAGATAGATTTGGAAAATCTTCATCTACATTGTTGCCATTTAAAATATTACGCATCGTAGACAAAGCTTTTAGCCCGATATTTTTTTCTAACACTTTTTTATATTTTTTGTCGATTTTTTCAGCGATCGGTCCTTTGTTTTGGCCAAGTTTAGATTTGGTGTTTTCAACGATTTCCAAATTCTCATCGAGTAAAAGTGATGCATTTTCTAATTTCAAAATAGATTGAGTGATAAAGTCAAAGTTACTTTTTATATAAGCTAAATCATTTTGTATAGTTCTATTTTCAAATAAAGCTATAGCATTCTTTATGGATTTTGCAGTATTTTCGTCTAAAGACAAAAGCACCGATTTCATGGAATTAAAATTATCAGCATAATATGATGTGGCTTCTAGCCAAGTTCCCCATCGGGTAAGTATTGGCTGTGGAGGTAAAGGTAATTCTAGAAATAATTCTCGAAATTTTAACACACGACTCGGAGCTTTTAAAAATACTTTTTTCACACAACTTATCATATTATCGATATTCGGATACTCAAGTTTTATTGTTTCACACACCCTATGTAAACCATAGGCTACACATGTCACATGTATCATATTTGGAAATAATACAGTTAATGTATAAGCCGTTTTAACCATGTATGGTGCAGCGTCAGTTAAAAATAAAAAAACTTTATTATATTTAATGTCGTTGGGCCAAAGTATATTTAAAGCATCGTGAAATAATTTCCCAACTGTTTGATAATTGCACTTTGAAAATTCCTCGCAAGTCAATAAATACGACTTAGAACATTTATCTTCATGCATAAGATCAACTACAACGTTAGCTACCTAACGTACCTTCCTTCGACGTCTGTAGTTTCATCAATTGAAACATAAATGGAGCCCTCACCAATTTCTTTACGAATACGGTCAATTAGTTCATTGTAAAGAACTGATACACATTTTTTTCGTAATGTAGATTGATCCGGAATATGTTTACCAGTATACTTTAGCAAAAATGTATTAAAAGTTGTATTATGCAATTTCCATAAAGGGATATCAGAAGCTAAAAATGCACGACATAAATCGAGCGAAAATTCTGAGTTCTGATCTTCAAATGAGTCTTTAATAAATATTTATTTCATTTTTTCTTTTCTTGTTGAATTACTGAGGTGTTTTGCTGTACTTAAATGCTGAGTAACTTGAAAGCGCTTATTTGATGATACTGCCTGGTCACAAATATTACAATATAGTGTTTTACCATCGGTTTTAAAAACTGTACTAGAAAACTCTTCGACATACTGTCGAAGTTTTGCACTGGTACTTTGTATTTTTGGCATTTTATAATTTAATGTAGGTATTAGGTAAGTACGTAACGAAACCAATACAATTCGCAAACAACACGGCAACGTATCATTACACACAATATACTACGATCACTGTCAAACACAAACTAACTTTTAGCTGTATGCTTTTATTTAGTAAGCGTACGAATTGTGACAGTAAGATAAGATAAAATTAAATTTGGGTATTTTTGTACTGCGATAAAATGAATTGTAATGAAATATACTATAAAACATGCACTTTTTGTGTTTTTATAGTCGAAATGTATAAAAATATTCATTTTGTTCAAAATATGCAAAAATATGTATTTTGTCCAAAATATGCAAAAATATGACAAATAAAAATACCACAATTTACCTCAGCTAGAGCTAATTCATGGACATTAATTACAAAATAAGTAATCAGAAGTTGCAAAAAATATATACCAATGCATATAAATCCTAGCCCTATTAATTAGTTATATCTATTTGTAAAATTACACAATTTTCGCTGTTAAAAAACTATATTTATATAAAATTATATGTAATAAGAAATTTACAGAGTAAAATCATAGATTTAATAGGTGCTGTTAATTTCATTGAAAAAGTGTTATTTAATATTAAAGAACTGAGAAATGACAGTAAATTTGAATTAATTGTTTTAGAAAAAGACGAATTTATTGAATCGAAAAAAGATAATCTTTTGTTTACACCTTTAGTTCATTATAGAGTAAGACGCATTAAAAAAATGCCTGGTGAAATTGCATTTGATGAAGAATTTGCTGATCCAGTTCAGAATTTTAAAATAAAATCATATTATGTCATGTTGGATATTGTTTCTACACAGATTCAGGAACGATTCAATGAAAGTTCAATACCATTACTTAAAGATATTTCTCTTTTTCAACAAAAACGTTTAAAAGATGTATTAAATAATGCTTCAAGCCTGCCTGTGGATGTATTCCAAGGATTTGAAAATATATATGGAAAATTTGTGTCTGCCATAGATCTAAGACGAGAATATGTTCAATTTGCAAATGTATATTTTAATTTTGAAAAATTCATAAAACTTTCAAAAAGAATTCATAATGTCTCAGATAATATTTTTCTTGAAGATTAGTTTACTATTCCATCATTCAACATTTCATTAATTAAATCATCAGGCATAGTGGTGAATGACAATAGTACAATATTATAATATTTAGATACGAATATCACATCAGAAATAAATAAATCGTAAAATAAAAACCAACCAATAACTATAACAAAATTGCGTTGAACGATAACGCATCAACGCGAAAAGCAATGACGATTACGATAATTAAAAAGAAAAATAAATACGAATGCGAGACACGTCTCATAGCGCAATGATAATCACCACTCAATAACCTATTCCCCCTGCACATCGTGCCTTGAAAAACGAGAGGCTGCAACACGTCGTCTCATAATATTAATTTTTATATCTGTATTTGGATGTTTATAGAATTAACCATTACGCCACAACGGACGACAGCTCGCGTGCACGGTCAACTAATCTATTTGAAGAATACTATTATAATACGGTATGGCACAAAAGTAAAACCATTGATTATAGAAGTAATGATAAGTAATCAATAATTGATTGTAGAATCACTAATAGATTATCATAATCTGCAATATCTTATCACATCTAAAGATGATATTAATAGGATTATTGGAGTATTGCAAAACAACCAAATGTCACATACTACAAACGAAACAAACGATGAGTTTCAAATTAATTGATTAGAAGAAGCTATGGAAGTGCTACAAAATGATGCAAATATGCTAATATACTGGATAAAATTAGAATTAACACAGTTACACGATCTGACATTCAAACTACGAATAAACAAAAAATTAGTTTTAAAATCAAAGAAAATCCTGCAGATATAATAAGACAATTGTACGTAACTAAAATGAAGCTACCAGATTCTACACTATTTATACTTTCTACAAGAAAACATTGTTCATTTTTAAATAATGTAATATTAGTTTTATTATCTTCAGATAACATTCGTTTGAAATCAATTGATTCTGTTTATTGTAAACCATAAACTAAAACAAAGCTATGACAAATCTGTCGAAACTTGATGATGATAGTTCGCGGACAGTTGGTCTTTAAAAATATTTAAATGTGAAGTTAAACTTTAAAATTATGTTACAAAGAAATATT